GATAAAGGGGAGAGGGGGGAGGTTGGCTGAAACGTCTTTTACATATTATTAATATAAAGATCTTCCTCGTTAGAAACATACGTCATGTAACACTATTGCACTTTAAAAAGTCTACTGTAATTTCTTCTACATAAAAGGTATGCTGTACCTCTTCGTCTCCAAGCCTAAGCGGATGCCTCAAACATTAATTTTTTTAAAAGCGATTTCCTTTTTTTTTATTCCTGCGGCGGACAGAATGGTAGATCTAACTTTCTTTTGCGGTTCCTGAAGTTCCTGGTGCCAGCGCCATTGATTTTCTTATCTTTGAATGTTTCTGAACGATCTAAGCTGAACTTTTCGAGAAAAGACTGTTTTTGTTCACAGAGTGGAAAATGCAACACCTGCTCTGGTGGCAAGTGCTCCCCCATGGGATACAAGGCAACCAAAAACCCGCACGCCACCAACTCGCACCAGATCAAATACTACACCACCACCGCCGCGGCTGCTCCTTTCTGTGGTATGGTCAACTATAATAATACGTGTTGAGATACCTAGGATCAGATGGGATCAAAAGAAAGACACCCCCCCCCCTTTCCCCCCTAACCAACCCACTTTTCCTCTTTGTTTTATGTTAGAAGCTTTTTGTTTAGACCCATAACAAAATATAGTTTGCGGCACGGCTGTGCTTATTTGAACATGCTTACATTTGCATGAGAGCGAGAACCTTTATTAGGTTTCACTTCTTTCTTACTCGCACTTCGCACTTAATTACTAGATCTAGCCTCCATGAAGTGCATGTAGTAGCCAAGACCGCTTTCCAGAAATGGTCCAGATATCAAGCACTGAATGCGAATTTGCTTTCTTCGACACTTATATTAATTGTATTGCAAGTGCCGTAAACCACTCACTAAAGCAATCACAAACTGTTTCTACATCTTTTAGAATATCACATGGACGTCGCCGTAACAGTTGCAAGATCTTCAGCAACCCAGCATGAGAAAGGAAATTTCTTCCTCAAAGTTGCCGGCGAAAATATGACCACGCCCTTTATCCAGTTAAATGAGAAGTAAGTTGCTTGAGAAAATCAACAGTTGCTTTTGTGGCTACACAGTATTTAGTTTGGCTGTATCAGTCATACATTTAAATTTGTTCTTGCTTGCGGTTGTTATTTTTAAAAATTTAAAACCACGGATACACCGTTTTTCTTATCATTATTTTCTTGTCTCGTTTACGTTGTTTTTTTTCTGGTTACACACCTGTTTTGTTTTTCTCGCCAAGTCCTGTTTCGTCACAATTTTGACCTTGAAAAGAATTTGACCGATTTCTCACTAATCATTTTCTGTAAAAGTTGCGATTTGGTACTCGTTTCAGGTTTTTTCTCTTGAAATCCAATCACACACAAGTACATACACACACATACACACACACACACAAAGACACACACACATATACACACATACATACATAAATAAACACATGCACGCAAGCACATACACATGCACACACAAAAATAAACACATACACATATACACACATACACAAAAAATACATTCACACTCGCTCACACCTATTTAAACACACATCACACATACATAACATTATTAACATACACGCATACATCACACATACACACATGCACACACATACACACAAACACACATAATACAATATATTTCAGCTCTTGTGGCCCTACATAAAATAGATGTTTGTGTATGCCGTGTGTGTGTGTGTGTGTGTGT